CATTTGGCCTAAGAGCTGATACCAGAGGTGGCAGGGGCCAGGTAAGGCCTGAGGCTGAGGCTGGGGCAGCTCCGGGAAGAGGCAGAGCTGGCCTCCCCAGCTGGAACCCATTTCCTGCTGGGGGAGGGCTGGCCGCCCAGCTGCTGCCGCAGGGCAGCTAGTTGGAGGTTCCAGAATGCCGAGTGTTTGCTACAGGGTTGGGGTTTGAATTTAAGGCTGGGCTTTGAATTTAGGGCTGCATCCCAATTTTCAGTCAACAAACAATGCCTTGGGGTTTTTCTGGATATGGGATCCACTGAGGCAAACAGACCCTGTTCATTCCCTACAGGAACTCGCAGTCTGGTGGGCAAGCCTGCCTCATTAATGGATGGCATTTGATGATGTGGCCTGTGCTTTAATGGTGGGAACCAGGAGGGCTGTAGGGGCCCAGAGAATTCCCCTAACCCACTCTGCGAAGTCAGGGAAGACTTCCTAGAGCAGCTGACCCCTGAAGGAGGGATTAGCCTCACCCTGGGGAAAGGTGGGGGTGGGCAGGTAAAGGGTCTGAGTATTTGCAATGGCTCCTTGGGAGGAGGAGGGTGCGGGTTCCAGGTGCCTCAGAGGCACAGGGAAGAGCTGCTCACTCTGGCTTGGGAAGTCAGGACAGGTGTTAAATCACAGTGCTGTTTGAGCCTTGAACGTTGAGTGAAAGCTGCCTGGGTGACCACGGAGGAGAAAGACCGCCCAGAGGGGACAGCATGGGCAGAGAGGCCCAGAGGTGGGAGTGCTCATGGAGCATTTGGGGAGTTACAAGCCTTCTTTCTGGCTAGGGGGAAGAGTTGGGGAGAACAGCGGTGAGAGGGGGCCAAGGGCCAATCAAACTGGGCCTCCAAGGCCTTGGTCAGGTGTGCCCACTTTTATACTGAAGGCAACAGGGAGGTGAGGGACATGAGATGCAGTGAGGAGAATGGATTGGAAAGGAAAAGAGGCAGCAGCTAGGAGTCTGGGACCCTGGGGGTGGAGAGGAGGGGCCAGACTGAAGGGGGAGAAGCCTAAAGGAAGGGGTGAAGGGGGTGTGGTGGTGAAGAGGAGGGGAGGTCCAGGGTGTCCCCTGGGTTCTTGCTTGGGTGTCGGGCAGGGATGGGGGGAGGTGCCTTCCTGGGAGGGAGAAGATGGCGGGCAGGTGTGGGGGAGGTATGAGTTGTGGTCGGCACATGGGGAAAACTGCAGGCACTGAGCAACTGCCAAACGAGGCACTGAATCCACCTGGAGGGTCTGGGCGGGGGGAGAGGAGACTTGGGGGTGGCTCCCTGGGACAGAGCACAGTTTGGGGGAGCACAGGAGTGGTTAAAGCTGTCACCCCTGGCCAGGCCCGAAGACCCCTCTGGAAACTCTCTAACGCTGTGGCTGGGAGGACTCAGGCCTCCTTAGAGTCCTCCATCCCCACTGTACAGATGAGAAGACTAAAGCCCAGAAGGGAGGGCAAAACTCCTCAGGCCCTCGGGGTAACTAACGGGTGGACTCCACCGATTCACAGGCTTTGGCCCCAAAATGAATATTCCTAGGCACCTGGGCTCCGCCTGGCCTGGAAGCAGCAGAGGTCCAATTGTATTAAGTCTCTTTATAATTTTGCTCAAGATCTAGCGTTTTGGGGTGTTTTTTTTCCTACTTTAAAATGCGTTTTTAAAATATATTTTAGTCAACTGATTTCTCTTGTCTTTAATTTTTGCAAGGTGATCAGAAATCAGCATTTCTAATCACCACCTTTAAATCAGGTTTCATATTTAAACCATTTTTATGCACCTTATGGTGACTGACAACTTCTCACGATTTCTCCCTGCTCACCCCTTGATCCTATTCTCTTTTGTAACTTTTTCTTAATAACAGCTTACTGAGATATGTCAATAATTTACATACCATACAATTCACCCATTTAAAGTATACAGTGGCTTTTAGTATAGTCACAGTTGTGTACCCATTTCCACAGTCAATTTTAGAATATTTTCATCACCTCGAAAAGAGAATGTGTGCTCACTAGCAGCCACTCCCCATCTCCACCCCCCGCGCCCCCCAGTTCCTGGCAACCACTAATCTACTTTCTGTCTCTGTGATTTGCCCATTTGGGACAGGTCGTATAAATGAAATCATACAATATGTAATTTTTTTGTGACTGGCTTCTTTCACTTAGTGTAGTGTTTTCAAGGAAGCACTTTATCCCTTCTTTTGACTGGATGAGAGTCCCTTTTCTGGATACACTACACTTTATCCATTTATTAGTTTATGGACATTTGGGTTATTTCTAATTTTTGGCTATTATGCTGCTATGAACATTTGTGTACAAATGTTTGTGTGGACATATATTTTCATTTCTCTTGGGTTTATACTTAGGAGTGGATTTCTTTCGTAATGTTATGAAAACTTTCAAATGGATACAAAAGTAGACAGCGATGCCACTCCGCCCCTGCCCTGGGCACCCATCGTCTAACTTCAACAGTCATCAGCTTGTGGCTACTCTTATCTCATGTACCAGGGTATTCCAAAGCAAGTGCCAGAGCTATCATCTCATCTGTAAATAGTCCAGTGTTGACCTTTAAAAAATAAGAACATCTGGGCTGGCCGAGTGGCGCGATGGTTAAGAGCTGGCTTGGGATGCCAGAGGCCCCCGGTTCGGATCCCACATATGAGGGCCAGTGACACTGCCCTCTACAAAAAAAAAAAAAAAAAAGAACATCTTACAAAATAATTGCAATACTATTAGCATATCTGAAATGATTAATGTCATCATTAATTTGATCAAATAGTTCCACTGTTTACAATGATCTAGTGGCCTTTTTTTCCAGCTGGCTCATTTAATTCATGTTCCAAGTCTGAGCAAGGACCCCACTGTGCCTTTGGTTGAAAGGTCTCTCCAAAACCTTTTATTTCTGGGGACCCCTCCCACTTTTTCTTTTCCTCATTTGTTTATAGAAGAAACAAGGGTTGTGTGTCCTGGAGAGGTCCTTGCAGTCTGGGTTTTGCTGACTTCATCCCCGTGGCCCTTTCACAGAGCCCCTGGATTCCCTGTAAACTGGTAGTTAGATCGAGACAACTGACCTGATTTAGGGTTGCTTTTTAAAAGAATATTTAAAATTCTTTAAATTTTCCACACCAGGCCCTGGGAGACAGTGGCCAGCCAAGCAGCGTGCCCTACTCTTGGACTGCTCATGGACCAGTGGTCAGAGGCACCAGCTGGGGGGTGTATTTGATTCCCCCAGGCCCTTTGCGGTGGGGCCTGGCCAGTGCCTGGTGCATGCTTTGCTCGGCATGTTTGCTGTCAGTTGGGCCTGAGGATGATTGGGCTCTGGGTGATGTCCTGCTGTCTGTCCACAGGCCCAAGTCATAGAGGTGTCATCCGAGCACCACCCCGCCACCCAACCATGCTACGCATGGTGTTGGAGGCGCTGCAGGCAGGAGAGCAGCGCCGGGGCACCTCGGTGATGGCCATCAAGGTTTACATCCTGCAAAAGTACCCTACGGTGGATGCCATCCGGCTCAAGTATCTGTTGAAGCGGGCCCTGGACACTGGCATGCAACGCGGCCTCCTCGTCAGGCCTACCAACTCCAAGGCCAAGGGAGCCACTGGCAGCTTCAAAGTGAGCCTGGTGGGGAGTGGGGGAGAGCAGATGGAAGGACTCTGCCCCAGGGTTAGAGCTTCAGTTCTCTCTCTCTCTTCCTGGCTTCAGTGTGCTATTCTCCTGCTGGAAGGCCTTTCTCCCCATCTTCTCTTCTTGTTCTACCTGTGTCTTCTCTGAGACGCTCTTCTCCAGGAAGCCTGGTGTGTGTGCCCCGTCTGAGTCCCCACACGGCTCTGGTCACCCTGCCATCTCCACCTTCATCCTTGTTGGGTGTGTTCAGTGACCAGGGACCACCTCAGCTGTGTTCCCTTCTGCAGTCAGCCCCTTCCTACCACTCCTACCCACAGATGAGGCAGTCCAGACTTGGGCTCTGGAAGGTCACACAGTTGGGGTTTCTCCCTGTGCTCTCTGGCTCTGAACCAGGGCTGGCAATTCCCCTGAGCTACCACATCCTCCTCTTTCAAAGGAGAGGGTCCCAGTCCAGGGTCACCCAGTACTGGGGGCAGATTTGGCACAAAACTGAACCCCAGCATTGTGGCTGCCAGCTGCCACCAGGGAAATCTCAGGGATTCAGACGTGGGGTTTGTCTTGTGACTGCTGTGCCCCCAGCAAGTAGCAGTGGCTTTGATAGTTGTCATGGAACACTGTGGAACATTCTCAACGTACCATGTGGTAACTGGTGGCTGAGCACAGGAAGTCCCGCCCTCACAGAACTGGCCATGGGTCAAATCTTGGAGCCAAGCCATGGCAAGGCCTGGTGCACAGGGTGGCATGAAGGAGAGCAAGGGAGGGGTGCTGGAGGGTGTGTGGCTGGATTAGGCTGCAGGGCCTGGGAGCCAGTCAGGAAAGTGGACTGAGGGGATGGGAGCCAGGGACAGGGCCCTAGGGTAGCACAGAGTTAGGGCACTGTGGATTCAGGCATGCTGGGAGTGAGGGGGATTTCCGGGCTGGGTGGGAATTGGGGAGCCATGAAGGCTCGGGAGCAGCAGAGTAATATCAGCAGGGGTGGTCTCTAGAAGAGCAGGGACCACCTGTTCCCCAGGGGCCTTCACATCCCCCTGGTGCTCACGTCTTCCTTGAAGGCCCCGTTGTAAAGATAGGAAGACTGAGGCTGGTGGGGACAGAGAAGACTTGGCCAAGTTACATAGATGGGGAGGGCTGTTAGAAGCTGTAAACCCTGAGCTATCTGACCTTGAAGCCCATGCTCCAGCTGTAGTCATAAAAGGTGAAGCAGGGATGCTAGAGAGGGGTAGATGTGAGGCGGGGCAGGCTTTGTTGGAGAGAGGGGGGAGGCGTCAGAGCCATAGTCCCTGAGAAAGTGGGTGGGGAGGGTGCCAAAAGTGGGTTCATAGCTCAGCCTCCCAGGAGGCAAGGGCAGGGCTCACAGTGTGCCCCTTTGCTCCCAGAAGCCTGACTTAGAGGCTTCGAAATGCAGGGGTGGGGGGAGCGTGCCTGTGCCTTCAGAGAGCAGGAAGAGCATCTTGGGGGAGTCTGGGGGACTCAGGTTCCCCAGCTTCTAAATGGCAACTGCTCTCCCTGGGAGTGCAGGGAAAGGATTGACTGCACTTCTGGAGACAGGCATTCGGGAGGGGGTCATGTATCTCCCACCTCCTTCCTCTTCCTTTTTTTTTTTTTGAATGGGGCCCTCTTCTCTGAGTCTTATGTAGGATGCAGGGGCTTGAAATACCCAGAACTTCGGCTCTCAATCCAACCCTATTCTCTTCTCCGCCAGTTAGTTCCCAAGCACAAAAAAAAAATCCAGCCCAGGAAGACAGCCACTGTGACTGTGCCCAGGAGGCCTGGTGAGGTCAAGGAGGAGGCCCCCCAAAAAGATGGCCAGACCAAGAACGGAGAGGCAAGAGTGGGCAAAGCCAGGAAGGCCCCCCAACAGCCAGACAAGGCCACAAATGCCCCTCTTGGTGCCAGTGGGCCCCAGGGGAAGTCAAAGGTCAAAGGCAGAAGGAGCAGCCCAGGTAGGTGTGTGGGAGGTGAGAGGAGGGCATGGCAGCCCCTGGATGTGAGGGGGGATGGAGGGGCTGGCTCTGGGGGAGGTAGATTTCCTTATCTGGTCAATGTGCCCTGAGCATTAGACTTGTCCTGGAGAGACAGAGCTCATGGTAGCTGGTGGGGGGGTGGGGCGGAGGAGACTGACTCATCTCTTAGAGGGGTCAGGGAAGGCATCCTGGAGGAGGTGTCCCAGGAAGGAGAGCAGCCTGTGCAAAGGTCTGGAGGCATGAAGAAGGTGGAGCTTTGGAGGAAGTGCAGATAGTTCTGTGTGTGCAGTGTGGGAGGGGGAAGCAGCAGCTGCGAAGGGCAGCCTGGAGTCTGGACTTGATCTGGAGGACAGTGAGGAGCCTGGAAGGACTCTGAACAGCAAGCAGCTAGGGTCTGAGACATTTTTTTAAATGTACCCAGCTGCCCTGTAGAAGATGCAGTAAAGACTAGAGGCTGATAAACCTGTTAGGGGCCTTTGTTGTGGGTGGGCACAGAGAAGGGGGTCTATCCTGGCCCTTGGCTTGGAGAAAGCAATAGTCATTCATGATCCAGTTGGTTCTCCAACCATCCTGTGATGGAGATACTGTTCCCCCCCCCCCCCCCCCCCAGTTTGCAGACTAGGGCACCCAGGCTCAGAAGCTAAACAACTTGTCCCAGGTCACATAGCCTATATATGTCAGAGTGAGGATTGGGGACCAAGCAGGCTGAGGGTGCTGGAGCCCCAGAACCTTCCTGCTCACCAGCAGCTCCTCCTGAAAGGGATCCTTCCCACACGCCCTCCCCACCTTCCAACAGATGCCAAGGCCCACAGGAGAACCAAAGCTGGGAGTCAGAGTTCAAAACCCACAGTCACCAAGGTAGGTGCCTGCTTGACTTCCCTGGTCTGGGTCTCCACCCTGCACGGGCCAGAGTTCAAGAGTCCCCCACCCAGCCGGGGAAGGGGGTCATTTATTAGAGAGCACTATTCAGTTTCTCATCCTCGCTGGCCCGCCAGCACCCTGAGGATCACCATCCCCATCTTACAGACAAGAGACTGAGGCTTAGAGAGGTGAGGTGCCTTGTCCCAAAGACACCCAGAGCTGGGATTTCAGCCATTTGCTCAATGGACTCCAAGCTGTGTGCGCCACCCTGCCCAGCGCCATCGCCTCGCTCCTTGGTTTGCTTTCTTATAGAGCAAGAGTGGTGCTGCTTCCCAAGCCAAAAAGAAGATGGAGAACAAGGTCCCTAAAGAGGCTGCTGCCCAGGGGGCGGGGGAAGGGCCAAAAGCCAAGGCTGCTGCTCCTCCTAAAGGTGGTGGATCCAAGACGGTGCCTGTACCACTGACCAGGAAAACAGAGGTCCTCAAGGGCCCGAGAAGGCCTGGCAAGCCCACCAAGGCCTCGTCCTCCAAAGGGGCCAGTAAGAAGGCAGAAGCCAAGAGCTAGAGGTGGGGCGGAGAGGGACTAAGATCCCGTTGGAGTTTTTATTCTCCCAAAACACCATCACTCTATTTATTTCACTGTAACCTATTTATCAATAAAGATTTTTTTTCCTCTCATAAATTGGTGTGGGAAGAGCCTGAGGTCCAAGGGTTTGGCCATCGGGGCCCGGGCCCAGAAAGGAACCCGACCCTGGGGGAAGGTAGACTGTCCAGTGTAAAGGGCTGGTGTAAGGATCCACCCAGGCGTTTCACCCCGCCTGAGATCAGGGATTGCTCCCTGGAGGAGGCAGCTTTTGGTCTTAAAGGATGAGCAAGAGTTGCCAGACAGATGAGGGGAGGGCATTGCAGGCAGACGACCCAGCATGTGGAGTGGTGGAAAAAGGGGCATTTGTGGCTTTGAGAGACGCATGGAGGGAGGGTGCCATGAATCACCGGGCCATGGGGGATGGGGCAGACCAGGAAAGGGAGACTTTCTCTTAGGGGCAGTGGGGAGCCAGGGAGGGTTATAGGCAGGGGAGACCGATGTGTGCTTAGAAAGAGCCCTTTGACTGAGGAGAAGAGAGATGAGAGGAACTGAGGGGAGTCAGAGACCATTCAACAACTATTGGGTTGTCGGAAAAGTCATGATGTATTTTTTTCTATGTTTTCCGTTGCAAAAATGTGTCATGACTTTTCTGACAACCCAATAGTTCCTGAGCATGACTGTGGCCCCTCTCTAATCAGCAGAAGGAAGAGAAAATTCGGAGGTCCTGAAGTGAGAACATGCTTGGCAGGCTCAAGGAGCTGCGGGGAGGCCCCTGTGGTTACAGCCCAATGAGGGAGGACAGTAAGGGGATGTGAAGCCTGGGGCGCTTTAAAAAAATGTCTGTGACACTCTTCCCATGGAGGAATGGAGTCTGTCCACTTTGAATCTGGCCTCTGCGATTGCTTGACCAACAGAATACACTGGAAATACATGATAGTATCTAGGCTTAGACCTCATGAGATCAGCAGCCTCTACTTCATGTGTGTATGTATATGTTTTTAATTCCCATCTCCCAACCCCCTCCCCCTTTAGCAACCATCAGCTTATTCTCTATGTCTGTGGGTCTGTTTCTGTTTCGCTTTTTCATTTGTTTTGTTTTAGATTCACATATAAGTGGAATCATACAGTATTTGTCTTTCTCTGACTCATTTCACTTATCATAATATCCTCTAGGCCCACCCATGTTGTCACAATGGCAAAATCCCATCCTTTTTTATTGCTGAGTGATATTCCCTTGTTTATGTGTACCAGGTCTTTTTTTACCCATTCGTCTATGGAGGAACAACTAGGCTGCTTCCGTACCTTGGCTACTGTAAATAATGCTGCAATGAACATAGGGGTGCATGTATCTTTTTGAATTAAGGTTTTTGTTTTCTTCAGATAAATACCTGAAAGAGGAATTATTGGATCATATATATGGCAGCTCTATTTTTAATTTTTTGAGGAACCTCCATACTGTTTCCCATAGTGGCTGCACCAATTTTCAATCCCACCAACAGTGCACAAGGGTTCCCTTTTCTCCACATCCTCACCAACACTTGTTTATTGATTTATTGATGATAACCATTCTGACAGGTGTGAGGTGATATCTCATGGTTTTAATTTGCATTTTCCTGATGATTAGTGATGTTGAGCATCTTTTCATATGTCTGTTGGCCTCTGGTGAAATGTCTATTCAGGTCCTCTGCCCATTTTTTTAATTGGATTGTTTTTTGGTGTTAAGTTGTATGAGCTTTTTATAGATTTTGGATATTAACTCCTTATTGGATGTATCATTTGCAAATATCTTCTCCCATTCAGTAGGTTGTCTTTTCACTTTGTTGATGGTTTCCTTTTCTGTACAAAATCTTTTTAGTTTAATGTAGTCCCATTTGTTTTGTTTTTTTCTGTTGCTGCCCTTGCTCAAGGAGACATGTTCAAGAAGATATTGGTAAGGCTGAAGTCAAAGAGTTTACCACCTATGTTTTCTTCTAGGAGTTTTATAGTTCCTGGGCTTACATTTAAATCTTTAATCCATTTTGAGTTTGTTTGTATATAAAGAAAATGGTTAAATTTCATTTTTTGCATGTATCTGTCCAGTTTTCTCAACACCAAATATTGAAGACTCTTTACTCCATTTTATGTCCTTGCCTCCTTTGTCATAGATTAACTGACCATATAAGCGAGGATTTATTTCGGGGCTCTCTAGTCTATTGATTTATATGTCTGTTTTTATGCCAGTACCATGTTGTTTTGATTATTGTAGCTTTGTACTATAGTCTGATATCAGGGAGCGTGATACCTACCACTTTGTTCTTTCTCAAGATTTCTTTAGCTATTTGGGTTTTTTTGTGGTTCTATATAAATTTTAGGGTTAGTTCTAATTCTGAGAATAATGCCAGTGGTAGTTTAATAGCGGTTGCATTGAACCTGTATATTTTGCTTTAGGTAGTAAGGACAGTTTAACAATATTAATCCTTCCAATCCATGAGCAAAGTATATCCTTCCATTTATTTGTATCTTTTTCGATTGCTTTCTCAATGCCTTATAGTTTTCACAGTACAGGTCTTTCACTTTGCTTAAGTTTATTACTAGGTATTTTATGCTTTTTGATACAACTATAAATTGGATTGTTTTATTAATTTCTCCTTCTGATCATTCATTGTTGCTGTATAGAAACACAACAGATTCTGTTTATTGATTCTGGATCCTGCACCTTTACTGAATTAATTTATTAGTTCTAACAGTTTTTTGGGAAGAGTCTTTAGGGTTTTCTATATATAGTATCATGTCATCTGCAAATAATGAGCGTTTTACTTCTTCCTTTCTGTTTTGAATGCCTTTCATTTCTTTTTCTTGTCTGATTGCTGTGGATAGGACTTCCAATGCTGTGTTAATAGGAAAAGGTAATAGTGGGCCCCCTTGTTCCTTTTCTTAGAGCAAAAGCTTTCAGGTTTTTCACCATTGAGTATGATATTAGCTAAGGGTTTGTCAAATGTAGCTTTTATTACATTGAGATATGTTCATTCTACAGCCACTTTGCTGAGAGTTTTTATCATAAAAGGATGTTGAATTTTGTCCAGTACTTTTTCTGCATCTGAGATGATATGGTTTTTATCCTTTATTTTCTTAATGTATATCACATTGATTGATTTACTGATGTTGAACTATCCCTGCACATTTAAGATGAATCCTACTTGGCTGTGGTGTATAATCCTTTCAGTATGTTGTTGAATCTGGTTTACTAATATTTTGTTGAGAACTTTTGCATATATGTTTATCAAGGATATTGGTCTGTAATTTTCTTTTTCTGTAATGTTTCTGTCTGGTTTTGGTATCAGGGTAATGCTGGCTTTATAGAATGAGTTTGTAAGTATTCCTTTCTCTTCAATTTTTTGGATAGTTTAAGAAGGATAGGTATTGTCTTAAGGGTTAGAATTTCCCTGTGAAACCACCTAGTCCTAGACTTTCATTTGTTGGAAGTTTTGTTTTGTTTTACTGCTTCAATTTTATTGCTAGTAATCAGTCTGTTTAGATTTTGTATTTCTTCCAGTTTAGTCTTGGAAGGTTGTATACCTCTAGAAATTTATCCATTTCTTGTAGATTGTTGAATTTGTTGGCATATAATTGTAATATTCTTTAATGATTCTTTGTATTTCTGTGGTGTTGGTTGTAACTTCTCTTTCATCTATGATTTTATTTAATTGGGTTCTCTATCTTTTCTTCTTGATGAGTTTGACTAAACATATGTCAATTTTATCTTATCAAAAAGCCAGCTCTAAATTTTATTGATTTTTTTCTATTTTCTTAATTTCTATTCTGTTTATTTCTATTCTGATCTTAACAATTTTTTTCTCCTGTTTACTTTGGGTTTTTTGTTGTTTTCTTTTTCCAGTTCTTTTAGGTGTAAAGTTAGATTATGAATTTAGGATTTTCCTTGGTTCTTGAGGTAGGACTGTATAGCTTCTTCTAAGAACTTCCCTCTTAGAATTGCTTTTGCTGCATCCCATAAATTTTGAAAAGTTGTGTTTTCATTTTCATTTGTTTCAAGATAGCTTTTGATTTCTTGTTTGATTTCTTCTTTGATCTATTGGTTATTTAGTAGCATGTTATTTAGTCTCCACATGTTTTTCCCAGTTTGTTTGTTTGTTCTTTCCTGTAGTAGATTTCTAATTTCATGCCATAGTGGTCAGAAAAGATGCTTGATATGATTTCAGTCTTCTTGAATTTATTGAAACTTGTTTTGTGGACTAATATGTTATCTATCCTGGAGAATGTTCCATGTGCATTTGAAAAAATATGTATCCTGCAGTTTTTGGATGAAATGGTCCATAAATGTCTTTTAAGTGGGTCTGGTCTAATGTGACATTTAAGACCATTATTTCCTTGTTAATTTTCTGCCTGGATGATTTATCCATTGATGTGAGTGGGTATTAAAATCCCCTGTATTATTATATTACCATGGATTTCTCCCTTTATGTTCATTAAAATATTGTTTTATAGATTTTGCTGTTCCTATATTGGCTGTGTAGATATTTATGATTGTTATATCCTCTTCTTGGATTGATCCCTTTATGATTATGCAATGTCTTTCTTTGTCTTTTTTGTTTGTTTGTTTGTTTGTTTTTGTTTTAAAGTCTATTTTGTCTGATACGAGTATTATTACCCCAGCTTTCTTTTCATTTTTATTTGCATGCAATATCTTTTTCCATCCCTTTACTTTTGGTTTCTCTGTGTTTTTCGATTTAAAGTGAGTCTCTTGTAAGCAGCATATAGATGGGTCATGTTTTTTTATCCAGTCAACCATGCTGTGTCTTTTTATTGGAGAATTTAATCCATTTATACTTAAAGTAACTATTGATAAGTATGTACTTATTGTCATTTTGTTAATTGTTTTTTTGGTTGTTTTTACAGTTCTCCTGTGTTCCTTTCTTCTCCTCTATTCCCTTGTGGTTTGCTGGTTTTCTTTAGTGTTTTGTTTGGGTTCCTTTCTCTTTATT